GATTAACTTATTTTATTATATTTTTATATTCATTATATAAATGCGTAATAATATTAAGTGTATCTTTAAAAAACTCAGCTCTCAAGCAGTGTAACTTTAAGCAATATATCTACTCAGAATCAATAAAAATTGCTATAAATTATTATAAAAAAGCATTTTGTCAATTTAGTTTCTTTTATTATGGAATTTAATACTTAAATATACTATAAATAATATGCAATAAAAAAATTTTTTATTGTATATGTATATATTAATGAATAAAAATAAAACATTTACAAATAGAGCTAGATGTTCAAAACAAAAACAAATAAATTAGTTTGCAAAAATTAGACAAAGTAAAAAATTTAATATATACAAAATATATAAAAATTAAAAAAAATCTTTCCCATAGAAATTTATAAAAATATATGAAAATAGAATATATATAAAAGAAATAGAAAAAAAATGTATATTAAATAATTTAGAAAAATATATATATAAAATAAATAACAAAAAATTTAAACCACGAAAATAAAAAACAAAATACAGTGCACGCTCGATATTCGCGACTACCCATTATCGCGACAGCCCGGTTATAGCAAGAAAAAACTCATAGAGGCTGTAATAATGTTAATTTATTATTACATTATCTTACAATAATTATTAACAGTACTTAACATTATTTACGCCATTCTTTAAAACTGGAAAGTGTAATAATTATATTATTAGCGATTTATAAAAAAAAGGCTGTGTTACTTACTGCCATTTTTTCTCCAAAGCGTGATAGAATTGTAGTAATTTGCTTCTAAAAGGCGCAAATTTTGAAATTTATTACTAAACAACACTTTTTTGCCTTAGTGCCGGGACCACGGTTGCCACTTGAAAATTTTTTTCTGCACCAAAATTGGTTTAAAAAGGTACCATTTCTGTAAAAAAGGTCCAAAAAAATTTTTTTGTTTTTTCATTCTGTGTTTTTCATAGTGTTATAAATGAACAAAATATAAAATAGTGCAAAGTTGCATTTATAAAAAAAATTAATTGGAAATATCCACAATAAAGTTGGGTCGTCAAAAATGTACCATTTTTTGAACATGAGTACCAAACGGAAAAAAAAGTACCAATTTTGGTACTAAAGTACCATAAGTGGCAACCGTGGCCGGGACACAAATACGCCGGCTCTCATGGTGGAGTTTGAGCGGCCATATTGTATTTTTTCCCATTCTCAAATTTACAATTTGCATTGAAAACAGCAACAATTGTACTCATGCCGTGCCCGAGACACTCTGCATAACATGGCCCCAACTTTTTTATAAATATTTAAAATGTATATTTTTTACAAATATATGAATAAAAAAGATATAATTTATATTAATTGCACACTATTTTTTTAAAGAAATTATGGTACGGTTATCGCGAAAATACGGTTCCCGTGACAGCTTTGGTTTTTAATTAGTGACGAATACCGAGCGTGCACTGTATTTAAAAATATACAATGCGTCGTTGACTTTATTTAATTATATTATTTGCGGTGAGAAATAAGTATTTGATGATTATAAAAAATATAAAATATTGTGTTCTTTGCAATTTTCAATTAATAACATCGCTTCTAATCAAATGCCATGTAATCAATCACTTTATCATAATTTTGTTACTATAAGCAATTTTATTATTAATAACATAAGTAATTGTCTATGCATTTATTTTCATTTTGTCTTGTTTTTCCATTTTATTATTGATTCTTCTGTCTAACTACAACTGATTCACATATATATATTGAATGACCTTTACACTTGGCTAACAAATCTAATTCCCTCGAGTATTTAATTAATAAAGTACTCACTTTTACTACGACAAAATTAATATTGTTAGTACAAGACGTTTGTAATAATAGCAATTTGTATGAAATCGTCTTTCGTTTAGTTCAATATACTTTTAGGTAAAATAAACAATTACAATCTCATACCCTTACTTACCAAACTAATATTAATTTTGTAAAGTACTTTAATCCTTTTAGTATCGAAACAAAAATACATTTTACCATATACACACTATGGCAGGCAAATTCTATATTATATGGAAAACTAATTTCAAGATGCTTTTCTTTTCAATCAAATTAATTAATAATGTTGGTCAATAAGGATGAATAGTTGTTAAATTTTTTGCACATCTGCTATTTTTCATTAAGTTTCCGTAACTTTTTCCAGCTGCTAATTTCAAATTTATTTTAACCTAGCAAACCTTAAATGAAGCAAATTAGAATTGCTTGAGTTCCTTTTCTGATTTACAAACCGAAAACATTTTTGCGATTAATTTTGCTTCTTTTTCAAAGTGATCAGCTCCTCCGCTCCTCCGTTCCTCCGTGCGGCGGATGTGAGTACAATAAAAGTTACGTATACGCCCGAGTGTACTTCAGTAATTTTTATTGTTGGCTGCCTTTATATTAACGCCATTATTATAATTATTATTGCTTCAATTTTCTTTTTACAGTTCACTTATTATATTTTTTTTTCCTGTTAAGGAGAATGCGATACTGCTTTCTTCTTACTTGTTTATGGTCTTTGTTGTAATTATATTGCATGTAAATATTTATTACGAATTTGATGATGTACGTTGTTGGATGAATTATTTATTCATATTTTTACAATTCAATGCCGCTTTTTATGTGGTGCAGAATATTCTTGTACGAACATTTTGTGTTGATGTTGTTTTTGGATATTTTCTTATTTGCTGCTACAGACTCAAATTTGTTCGCATTTATCATATCAAATAGGGCATCAGGTTTCTTATATATTCTAATAACATATTATTATGCTTATTAATCCATGTAATTTTTATTAAATATAGAAATCTCCCTTTAAATTGCCTATTTCGTGATTGGGAATATGTAAAAAATTCCTTTTTTTGTTATCAAAACAAACAATTGAACTAACATTGCTAGAGAGTTAACCGAGATACTTCGATATATAATAGGTTCAAAGTAGTCACTGTTACTTACACATTTTATCAGATTACTCTGATAGCATGGTGTATGTGTACTAGAACTACGGCGCATAGTATCTGTGTTCAAACCCAATTAAAGTTTGGCTTATAAACACAGTTTTAAAAATGCTTGAGGAATTCGTTTAACGTATAGAGCGTTAAGCACACTTTTAATTCATTAAAATGTATAGATATATAACTCAATCTGGGACCAAAAAGTCTATGCATAACAGACAAACACTCAGATTAAACTAACTTGTTGTATACGTGGCTTACAGCCATCTTGTTAAACTTAAACTAACCCAACCTACTACAAAAATCAACATAGCCTTTTAATAGGTAGATTTGGTATCGCTAGGAGTCGATAGTTCTATGCGTAAATTACGGCTACTTAGATTAAACTCTTCAACTTACGCGTATGTGTGGCTTGCAGCCAACTTGTTTAACCTAAACTAATCTATCCTTATTACTTTAAATACGACGACTAGACAGACGGCATCATAAAGGTCAAGTATGCTGAATTTAAATAACGCGTGAATCATGCAGTGAATAGGGGGTGCAAAGTTACAACTGTGTACTTTCTTCGCTTTTATTTATCTTAGTAATAGATGAAATAAAGAAAAGTTGTATGAAATGATACGTGTCCTTTAGTGGTCTCCTTTTAAACAACTAGAAAATTTGGAATATTCTGCTAATACTTATTTGCTTAGCTAATAATATATACATTTTCACCACAATCTTGAAGCTATAATGGCGTCCCGTTTTCTGGAACAACGAGTTTTGCCTCCGATAGCATCAACAAAGAATGTGTACAATCTACAAGCAATCGCCGACCAAAATAAAAAATATTGATGTCTAAATTTGATATAACATATATATACGCATAACTTATTTGTAGTATGAAATAAGGTAGGGGTCGCAATTGATATGATCTTGTCAATAAAACATTTACTGTCAACATATGTATATATATATATGTATATATATATATGTATATATATATATGTATATATATATATGTATATATATATATATGTATATATATATATATGTATATATATATATGTATATATATATATGTATATATATTTATACTATGTACCCAACAGGACCCAACAGATGTTGTCCTGCATGATATACTAAGCGATTAGGATATTAAACAAAGTAAGAAATGAAAGACAAATAATGTAATAATTTTGTTATTGTTTATTTTGGAATAACATCAATTTTTCTAAAAACAATTCATAATAATCAATAATGTTTGTTTAATTTCATCTCAATGCGAGTTGATGAACAATATTTTTAGTCAATTCTTGAGGAGTATAAATGAACTTGACGACGGTTTTCCAACGCGAGAACACACCACATATAATTGGCCATGTGAAAAGACCTGATTTTCTAGGTATATCCCACAAAACGACATTGCTTGACCTTGTGACTTGTGACGTGTGAATGGAATGGGTGAATCTGAAGGGATCATTGGGATTCGTGGCAGGAGAAAAACTTCACCTTTAAATTTGCCATTCAAAATTGGAGCTTCAAGTATATATTGCCCATAATTTTTTTTATGACTAATCTCGTGGCGTTATATAGCTTAGGTGCATTTAAATTCCGCTTCATAATTATAGGTGAGCCAATTTTTAATCTTAAGTTATGTGGTGGCATTCCTGGTAAATTCAGCGAATTCAAAAATTCAACAGAATAGTTGAACGATTCATTTAAGGGACTTTAAACATTAAATCAAAGTAAGCATGAATAAATTTGTCTAAAAATGTCTAATACAAATGTGTATGGATACCAAAAAAACTGTATAATAATTAAAAAAACATTATCCAGTGGAACAAATTGTGAATCTAAACCATCCTTGAATCCACTTGAACACACACAAAAAATTGCATCAAAATCGGTTCAGCCGTTTAGGAGGAGGAATTATTTAGAAGAATTATATATATGAAGATATACTATAAACGGTATTTTTCAAAATTATTTTTAAATGTTTCTTATCAATTTTTTTTCGTTAAAGAGTTTGACAATTAACTTACCAAAACTACATTTTTAAGTCCACTAAATATGCTTCGTTTTAAAGTTGATTTCGAAAAACGAAGAAAATCACATGTCTGGTTTTCATACCCTTTATCTTGATATATATTGAAAATAGGCTTTCAGCTTTTAAGACCAAAAAATCGTTTTCGAAGTTAGAGCACTTTGAAACGAAAATTATAGGGTTAATAAAATATGACAATAAATCAACAGGTAAAGATTGTAAAATTGTTAATTGAAAATAACAACATAATATCACTCAAAAGAATCTATCAATTACAATTATTAATGACTTTTTAAATACCCATTTAATTATTTACAAAAAAAAATAGATAAATTAAACGAGATATTTTTTTTATTTCAAAATATATTTGCTTCATATAATTTACTGTAAAACACAAGTTGTAAATATATTAAAACAAAAAAAGATAAATTGCAATTTTAAAAGTTTAAGTATGTAGATAGATAAATAAAAAAATTGTACATAATTTTATTTTAAATAAATTCTAAATAATTTTATTTTAAATAAATTGTACATATTTTTCAGAAACAAATTTTTATTTCTCATCATAATTTGAAGTATTGCTTACGCTAATTTAAAACAATTTATTCCAAGTTAATTTAGAATACTGCATTCATATATCAAATAAATTTACAACTTTTGAATTATATATTTTAATTTAAACAGATCTTCCATTCTTAATTGCTTTACTACCAAATAAATTAGACTTTATATTCGTACGTTAATGTGTTTGTGCATAAATGTGCGTTCATAAAAGTATTAAGTTCTATGCGTTCTACCTACCTACCTTATCAAGTCATGCCAAACCAAACCACAGCACACCAAACTAAACTGTAAACTGTAATGTTCTGTAGTAGACGCTTCGATTATGCGAATATATCTACTTCATTAAGGTTACTTCGTTCGTATGAGTGCAAGTAACCCTACGTCAGCATATAAGACCCCACAAATTGTACTCGTACTCAGTGTACGGTGTACGGTGTATGCGCCGTACTCGTCGTTTTCACTTTAGCTGTAGCTCCTTTGATAGAAATATTGTTATCGCATTTTCATAGTTAATTATTTGCATAATTAATTAATTTTTTTTTTTTGTTTTTTATTTTTTTTTTTTTTTTGATGTACTGTACTTGGTTTTATTTTGCTTTTGCAAAAGTTTCTTTAAGAAATTTATAGATTTTTTCTTTTCCAGAAACATTTTATGGTTACTATGTAAATTCTTTTTGTTTTTGGTTGTTTGTATTCATGGCACGTAAATTATTAAAATATGCCGCATGAGGCATACAAGGTCGCAAATGGAATATTTACACCCTGAAGCGATATTTGCAACAATTGGGAGTAGATTAAGTTAAGATTTTGTTTTACTTACCAGAAAGATTTTTGTGCATGTTTTATTATTGTTTTGTTTTGGAATGGCGCTGAAAGTTTTGACAAATTGCTTCACAAATCCACTAAAGTCTCTTTGTTTAGTTCTACTTATAAGAAATTATAGTTTTAAAACTCGTTTAAGTAAAAGATTATGTGCACTGCACAATGCAAACTTTTATAAAAGTTTATATACAATATTGACTAATTTGCTATTACTAAATTCTATTGTTGAAATTGCAAGTTTTTCATATCATATGTTATATGTCAATTTATTGAATAAACACAAAAGAACATGAATCAACTAAAGGTTAATATGTTATGATTATGTTGTTATAATTAATGATTAATATTACCAGACTCCAGACTTTTTTAGAGCATAAATCTCAATGAATGAACTTTTGCTTAAAGTCAGACGAGATAAGTTTCATAGTCTATGGTATTAATGTTTTTCGAAGCAATGGAATGCATCGTTCTCCTTGCAGATAGCACATCATATCTTATTACCATACTATGGAAAGTCAGCGATTAGCATTTTCACTCCATATTTCAAGAATATGGCAATTTGTAACGCATTTAAAGCGCACTGCGCATATCGAGAACGAAGTGTTTAGTATTTTTACTAATAAGAGCATAATAGCACACCACACAAACAAATTGGCAAGGAGAGTTATATTCTTCATTCAAAGCATATGATGCTTCATATGTATCATATCAAATCGTACTCTTACAAAAACATTCTTTAATTTGTAAAAGATGATTTAAGGTTGATAACGGGTATCAATAAGGGTCGTTATGGTCTGAAATATCATCTTCATAAAATACGATTATCTGCTAATTTGAAATGCAGATTATGCTTCGCAGATGAGGAAACTACTATGCACCAGTAAAGAAACTTATTTCATATGGAATTTCTGTCACCAGTACAGATTAAGAGCTCTTCTCTATATTTTGTTTTGGACTTTGTTCACAAAGCTGTAAAGGATTTTGTGTTGTCAATAATGACATTGGTACAATAGGACTGTTCTGGCCGCAGTACTGGCTATTGAGCGATTTCACGTCAATAATTAAAAAAAAATATGTTTCATTAGTACAACATGTGAAACGCATGAAAATATGTGTGCTTAGTTAATTATGTATAAAAAATATATATGTAAAAAAAAAAATTAAGAAAGAAATTGCACATGTATTGATTTGATTTCTTTTTCAAACACCTCGAAAGCATCCAAAAAGCTGATTTTTAGATACTTGTTTGAAAAGTTTTAAAAAAACAAGTTTTAATCTGTATTTTAGTCTTGGGTGTCAAAGCTTAATAGAAGGAAATATTTAAATGTAAAATATATTTTTACAGAAATATAAATAGTGGCGCCTGAAAATGACGTATATCTATTGATCCAAAAAATGATCAAAAATTATCCAAAAAGCTGATTTTTAGATACCTGTTTAAAAAGTTTTAAAAAAACTAGTTTTAATCTATATTTTAGTCTTGGGTGTCAAAGCTCAATAGAAGGAAATGCTTAAATGTAAAATATATTTTTACAGAAATACAAATAGTGGCGCCTGAAAATGACGTATACCTATTGATCCAAAAAATGATCAAAAATGATCCAAAAAGCTGATTTTTAGATACTTGTTTGAAAAGTTTTGAAAAAACTAGTTTTAATCTGTATTTTAGTCTTGGGTGTCAAAGCTCAATAGAAGGAAATATTTAAATGTAAAATATATTTTTACAGAAATATAAATAGTGGCGCCTGAAAATGACGTATATCTATTCACTACTTAGGTTCAGTTCGCAGCTTTCACTGCTAAACAAAATTTTGATTTACAAAACTAAATTAGTCAAAATTGTGGAATATTATTGTAGGCCAGTTGAGTATTTAAAAATCAACACTATGCAATAAAATATCATCGGTAGTAATAGATCTTTAACCGTTTTGGTAGTCATCTGAATGCTCTAACCAAATCACTACTGAAAACGTCTTGCGGATCCTAATGGTTTGTCAGGTTCTAAGAATCAATCCTTATTACAATATTTTAAAATTCCAGTGCTAATACTAGTATGCTTTATATGCATACATCTCTTCGCAGCTAATATGCTGTAATTTTATATAGTGTAATGAGTTAAATAATCCCTGATATTTAAGAAAATGAAGAAAATTATGATGAGCACATATTGATTTTTGCAGACCTTGACATGCAAGTACAAATCATTATGAATTCTAAACAACAAAGCTACACTTCCAGTGCAATTATTGTATTTTATATATATAATATTTGTAATACAGAACAGATTTTGTATATTATTATTAAATTCGAGTTTTATAGTTGTTTCCATAGAAATATATTTTCGGCTAAAGCATCAATAAACTTTGTAAAACTTATTCACTTCAATTTTGTTTTTGAACAAACTTGTTGCGTACTTAGAAAATTTTATATTGAGAACAAGAAAAAAAAAATCAAAAAGTTGGATCTAGTTTATTAGAACTCATATTTGAAATATTGCTAGACCAAATTAATTTTGCATGTTCCTTGTGAAAATGGAATTATTAAATTGCATTACATTTTTTTCTTGTATATCTTATTTGAATAAATAATACAAAACACAATCCATATTTACTTTTTCTAGTTCACCTAGAAATTCTAATACAGTTTTATAGTGGAGGCCGTGGATATATAAAAAACATTTGCTATGACTTTTGTACTTGTCTCACTTAAATGTATTCATTGGAATAGTGGGTTCAATAAAAAAATAACAAATTATATTATTTATTTTGATATTTGTTCGGTTTTTTATGGGAAAATTACAATTTCATGTCATCAATTTATGATAAATTGCCTATTGACGTGATAACAAACGGGAAACAGTAGTTTACATACATTACCAAATTAAATAAGCAATCTATCAAGTATAAATCCAATCAGCTACCTATTACTTTCTCAATTCAGAGACAATGTACGAGTACATAAATACAATTACATAAATTATAATCGAACTTCTAATAACTTCACGTTGGTATATTTCACAAAAGTACCAAATAACTTTGACGTTATTACGTTCAGTTAGTTGTCGACTTTCATTTGGTGCTGCAATTTTTTGCTCTGACGAGATAAGTGCTTAAGCAAATTAAACTGACAGTTTATAGGAAAATGTCAATTTCTAAATTATCTGTTGTCGGTGAACATATAAAACGCAATGAAGAAGAGTGTACACGCTTAACCTTGCAAAGGGTTTTCAACACCTCGTTATTGCTAAAAAATCCGCCTTATAGACACGAAATTGCTAATCACTATCGCGATTTAAAATATAACCCGCACATACGTCGTCGACGACGCAAAGTATTCGTACGAAATCGTAATCCCGCCGCTGTGGGTGTCTTTACTGAATTTCGACAGCTGTTACCTTTAGCTGTGCAACATTTTCCAAGGTAACATACGTTTCCAATAATGTAATAACATACCTATGTAGGTATCAAATTTTATTGAAATGGTGTATGTATATTTTGAAAGTTTTCATTTTTATTATATTAAATACTAATTATTCGCACAGTAGATCCCATTCTATATACTAACTAATGTTATTATTATGTATATTTTGAAATTTTTATTATTTAATATTATTACATTATAATTATTAGCACAGTCGATCTCATTCTAAATTTTAATCAATGTTATTATTACTTTTTATATTAATTTATAACAATTACTCAACGAAATGAACATGTTACTATGAACGACCGTAATAACATCCGGTACTCACTTATATATGATGTTGAACCGCCGTTGTAGCTTCATCCTTGATGACCCCTGAATGAAATAGAGATAATATTAGTACATACAGAATCCTACACATCGGTACAAATACAGAAACACAAAGTGCCTTGGTACATCCGCACAAACGACATGCTAAGAGACCTTAGAATAGACCCGATCAAAAAATACATAATGGACAGAGCCCTGAAGTTATATGCGAAAATTGACAGGCTATCCTACTTACCACTATCTAATCTTAGAGTAATCAGTCTCCGCATGGGGAGGTACACAGATCTTAGATCAATTACTGAATAATTATGAAGCTTATGAGAGATATACAAATTAGTCAATGAGATGGGTGGGCCCCTGTAGTACCCTCAGCTATCAAAGAGTAAAAGTCCCCAGTTGCGCTGACTCGAAAAAAAGGATCAACATTACAGTATATTACAGAAACACAAGTATATTGAATTGTTTTATAAATAACATATAGTTATGTACAGTACAAATTGTCCAATTCAAAAAATACTTGCTTTACAAAATGCTTATTAATAATTAAATAATTAATTATTAAATACTCTCTAAATAATAATTCGAAGTCTTGAGTAGCATTAACGTTGAGTTGAGTGGTCGACATATGTGCACGTTTGAAATAATGCGCAGCGGATATTTTTTATATCCGAAACTGTCTTTGAAGTCCTTATATTTATTGTTTTTTGTTTAAAAATCTTGATATTGCATTGATATTATTCTAAATTCATTTAATATTAAGGATCGTAAACTTTAAAACCATAAATATGTCTCTTCTAAACATTAATGAAAATACATTTTATACTATAATATAAATTATATTTCTTGTCGTCAATATCTCTAATGAACTAATAAAGCTTAATTCATTAAGATATCAAGATATTAAATTAAAATAATTTCTCTTGTTTAATCTTTATCTAGCAATTAAAGCAGGTACTTTCCTCTTACAATAGACTCCCCCATAGACAAAAAACTCATAAAAGCTTAGTTGTGCATAACTTATCTGAGAAAAAATCTTTGGTAAATGCAATAACTTCTATCGTAAACTTCAGCTTATATGATTACTATAATCAAATTTTAACCAATCAATTCTGATCTATCAGTTATCAGTTATCTATCAGTGATCTATCAGCTATCAGTTACTTTGAAATCTCACACCTTTAAAAAACACCCTTGATATAATAACATAAGCTGTATTATTTAATACCTTAAGTTATAAATAAATTGGAAGCCAGAAGGCTACAAATATCTTTAAGGTTCAAAATCTATTTTAAACAATGATCTAAGAATATATTGTATGTCACCTATATTCTCTTGATGTGTAAATGGTATAAAAAAGTAAAAGCTTATAGGTCAATCTAATACAAATAAATGAATTTTGATCATAACCTTCAATTAAAATAGAAATTTTTAATTGGATCCCGCTTACAAATAGTGTTAAAATATATCTTCTAAAAGATACGAGTCCAGGGGGTTTTGAAAATTTGTTTATAATTTGCAGTAGTGCTAGTATTTATTTGCTTTTTTGACTATCTTTTTATAAATATTTTATTTGATTTATTTGAAAAATTTAAATTTTAAAGATGTAACACCAGAAACTCTACTTGAAGGTGTGTTACTTAAAACATAAATTATATTTCAAATATCTATATTAGTATTCAATTCCCATTTCTGTATATAGTATAGACAGAATTTAAATAATTTTATTTTTGTAATTCAAACTATTAATCCAAATTTCTTTACGAGCTTTAATTTGTGTATAGGGAACATGTGTATTATCCTTTAGTAAACACACACGCATATTAATATTATATATGTACACTAATGGTAATATACATTAAAATTGTAGAAAATATATTAAAAATTTGTATATAATTTTGTGTTACATGTGTGATAAATTAAAACCAACAAAAATAGTACAGACAATTTCTTATCGCAATATGCTTTATTATTAAATATACGCACCCACATAACTTATACAGGGTAAAATAGAAAAATAGGTAAAAATAAAAATTTGTTAAAATATTTCATAAATAGGTTTTTTCGAACAGTACTACAACTGTTTCGAACTACAACAACAAAAATTTTATTTTAATTTATTTATTTTATTTATTTTTTTTTGTTAAAATATTAAATGTTAAAATATTTTATATATTATTTTATTTTATAAACTATGTATACTAATTAAAGTTATAACTAATCATAGTAGGATGTTTGTTTAAAATGAATGTAAATATTTTCTAGAGTTATCTTAATTATACATACAAAGTTTAAGAACGATCAGTATAGTTAATAAAAATTATCAACACTAATGATCTCTCAAATAAATAATAGATAATCAAATAGATAGTTTCTAAGCAGTTTATAATATGAAAACCCTAATAAAAAATTTGAGAAAATTAGGGATAGAAGAAATAATTCCCAAAATTTCTTGCTTATCTAACATTCGTGTTGAAATATAACATCACTGTCACGCCAAAACCTTCTTATTCTCCAGTTAAAGAGTAACTTTTGTCTACAATAGACGAGATGAAGGTGAAGTCGTAAAAACAGCTAAAGCTTGCATTTCTCAATATTTCTCAATTTTCAAAAAACCTTGTTTAGTTTAGATTCCACTTTATATATTATAAATATAAATTTAAAATTCTTGAAAACATGTTAGCAAGTCTATTCGAAGGGAGTGTGCTCAAATCTATTACCCCCGGTATGACAATCGCAAAGAGCAACTGCAATGACATACACAGTTCTACAAAGCTTTATCAGCTCAACTTCTGCGGCTAAATGAAATTTATAGTATATTTTTACATGCAAACCACATTCAGTACTATAAATACTGAGAATACAATAATATACTGAATGTGGTTTAATCTTCGCGGGGCATATGTTGCTTTTACTTTGTGCTGATATATCCACATCGATAACAAAATACACTACCCGAGCATCACGAGATTACTGGTGATGACATAATATTACTAGTATTGTTAACATTAATTCGATTTAAATCTATTTCCTACATGAACTTCTAAGATTAATTTGAGACCCGACAGACCTATTATATTTTTAAATATAGAAATGAAATTGTTGTTTATTTTTTATTATTTTTTTTTAGTACAGTCTTATTCTAAATACTATTGATAAGAGTGAAATAAACATCAATTATAATAAAAACAACTTTTTTATATTATCAAAAAAAAAACCAAAAATCATATCATAACAATAAACAACAGATACACATCGAAATTAAAACTAACCTAACCCTAAAACGAATACACATCGAACCATACAGCTAAATACATTAGCTGTATACCTTATACCCACATGAAAAATTCTGTAATTAATAGACCTGATAGCGCCTGGATTTCACTTTTTTTTTTGACTACTCAGTAAAGAGGTAGTTGATATCTAAATCCGGTTAGTTCCACTAGTTCTGTTAATGTGTATGAATTCGCTTTACTAACGAACACTATATTTGCGATTAAAGTATAGAATTGCACTTGTGGATTGATAATAAGATTTTTAACTGAATTTCCTTAGAACTGTTTAAATAAGTCTTAACACTCTTTTTGTTTAATATAGTTTTACCATCTATGGTACTGTGTAGTGATATTAGAGACCGTTTTCAAACGAAACAAAAAACTTTTAAAAATATTCCAACCACAGATCAAAATCTTGCCTTGAAAGTGCAGAACTTAATCAACTATATCTGCCCATTATTAATGTTTAAATAAATAGATGATATATCTTGTAAGATGAATAATACTTTAGATTGATGGAATTTAAAGTTATTAAGAGATAACGTATGTATGCTCAAAAGCATATAGCACATTCTTAATGAATCTCCACCTCTTAGCAGACAAAGGTTTCACCACTTAGGTGATCTTGTTATACTTTCATATAAATTATACCACAACAAATATTAGGGTATATATTTAATCACATATACAGGATTAAGAATCTAGGTTAGACAAAATCGATTTATTTAGTTCGTATTGCGTTCTGGCATTTATTAATAAAAACAGATTAAGTCTATATATAATATTTGTAAATATTTTTATATATAATTATTATTATAATTATAATTAAATAAAATAATTATAATTATTAATACGATATACATATCGAATTAAGAACATTAATTAATGTTCTTAATTCGATTTGGTACAAAAGTCTTTCTAGTATTTAGACAAGAAACGAACCAGTCAGCTACTTCAACTAAGGCGGAACCTGCTCAGCATCACGGTTTCTGTGCAGACGGGACACTGTGTAATAAAAGGGCATGCTATGAGATTGAGTTTTCCCTTTAATGATTTTTGTCGAGGTTGCGGCTCTGAGGATGACCGTGCTCCATCTCATGTGTCAGTGTCCTTCCTTAACTAGAAGAATATTAAAAATCTTCGGATCATATTTTTTCACCGATCTGACTGAGCTGTTATCCTGTAATGTTAGGGACCTGACCAAGTTTATAGAACTATCAGGTTGGTTTTCCTCTACCTAATAGCGGAGTAGTTACCTTTTTTCGGCATTGGCTGTACACTGATTTAAATCACGTACCAATGCTATTCCTGTGGTACCACAATGGGCTATCATTTGAGCTCAAATGGGCTAATACCTAGTATTATATTAATTCTCTTTTGGCTAAGCCAAAAATTCAATTAATTAATAAATAATAAAATTTTGAAAATGAAAATGAATAAAATTGTTATAATTTACTACTGTTCAAAAAACCTCCCTATTGAAAACAATATATTAATATTAAGAATTTATTTTGTTTCGTCAAAACGGACGTTAAAAATTAATTTAATATAGACAATTATATGATCAAAAACTCATGTGGGTTTTTTTTGGATACAAGGCCGCTACTTCAACCTAACCTAACCCATATAGCATTGTCTATAGCTCCTGTGAGTTTTCTTGGGTACAAGGTCGGTACTCCAATCTAACCTAACCTATATAGCATTGTATATAGATCATGTAGATTTTCTTGGGTACAAGGCCGCTACTTCAATCTAACCTAACCTATATAGCATTGTATATAGCTCATGTAGATTTTCTTGGGTACAACGTTGCTACTCTAAACTAACCTATATAGCATTGTGATCTTCTAGCAGATTATAGAAGTTTTAATAGAGGTACAGTTAAATTTCTAACTCTCTTTCTTCCATAACAGCTTAAACTAGAAAATAGTTTAAAATGTGAAGTCAAATATTTTCGTGTAAAAGTTTTATTCTAGTTTTTAGGTAATTTAATATATAAGAAGCTCCATTTAAAGAAATTTTTACCAAATAATTGTACATTAACATTTATATTGAAGCGTAATAAAATTCGTTGTTCTCAGTTGTTTTTGTTAATGTAGTTTTTTATATGTTACGATTATAAAAGAAGCATTACTACACTCTGTATAGTAGCTAAAAACAGCAGAACACATAAATTAAAAGTCATTAATTATTCAAATGCAACGTATATACTTACTAATTCTGTACTTTCTTATTTGTTTTTGACTTAATTACAGATTTGCCATAACATACACGCCACGTGGACGACGAACTTTATGCGAAAACGCCCCTCCCGATGAGACATTTAATGACACTGTGCGTCGTATAAGAGCAGCGAGCGGTTGTGAAGAACTGAAAGCACTTGTGCAACGCCAGCTTGAGTTTAGAACATCCACAACTCAAAGGCACAACAAATACAATAAATATGGACAAAAAGTGTATGAGAAGCCTGTGAAATGGCGATTTAACTATAGCAGAAACAACTATAATCACAACAACAAAGGTCATTGTGAAAAGCTTCATTGGAATGCTCAAATACACAACAATAAGAAGCAACAATTATATGTCGCCAACAAATTCAATGACAGCAACAGCAACAGCAAAAGCAACGGCAACGACAACACAAACAAAATTAACAACAAAAAGCGCAATAACAACGATCTAAATTATTATTTGGAACTGGCAAGTGAATTATACCAGAAAGGGTTTTTATATAATATCAAATATTTGGAATCGATAGGCAAGCGTAATAATAATTCGTTAAGACATCGTACCAAAGATATATTAGACGGGGCACATACGTCATCAACTACGAGAACAATTCCAACATTTAACAACATTTGCATAAAAACAACAGAGACTTGTGAAAGGCCAACGAAACAAGATTATCTGTACAATTGTGCCAATTTAGTGGAAATTCTTGAGCGCGCTGAAACTAAGCAAGACACCACAGAACTTGCCTTTAGTGAAAATGAAATAATAAATAAACCTAAAGTCAAAAAGCTTGTAAATAGAACACAGTTCAAAGAGTGGCCAATTCGTGTGGATATTACTCCAGCAACAAGTACATCAAATTGCCAAAAAACAAAAACAAAAACAAACCATATTACTCCCTCACCCAATCAAGAAACTTTTACTACCACAACTGAGAGCGGAGACATTACAGTAAATCATCACAGCAGTGATTGGATTATGAACGGTTTTCTGAATGCCAATTCTCAACATTTCTCAAAAATATATTCATCCAACATAAATCAAACGAGTAGCAAGGTGTTAAATTTAATAACAGATATTACAGATACGCGCGATTTTCATGATTTCATCGATCATTTCTCAGGCCTAGATATTACCGATAAAAATACAAACGTACCTAAAATAATATTAACAGATTGTTCCTCAATACCGAGCGCAGGCGTCTCATCGAATTTGGAACTAGAATCTAATTATATAAATTGCACGCCTAATACATATAATACGAAGTCATTTTGTCTTAAAGAAGCGTCATTTAACCAGAATTTGTGTTTACCGAATGAACTATTGAACAGTTTCCACAGTGAAGCAAGACCACCGTAGTATAACAAAAACATATAATTTCACTGCGAAAAAATTTTTACATATTATATTACTATTTATTTTCTGTTTATATATAATTGATTGGTAAAAACAAAAAGTATATATTAAATAATTGACGACTGCCTAAAATTATATAAAATCGTTGGTTGTGTTCCTTTGCTGAACAATGGTTGCTATTGAACATCGTCAGATATCATCATCATCAACAACCACAACAACAGCTATCAATAATACTGTGCTATCGCCAGCATCGTCAACACTTTCATCACAATCAACCGCGTCGTCCTCAGCATCTAATATACAACCAAATTGCCAACATCTAGAAGACCAACAACAAGCACAACCAGTCAAATCAACTACCAATAATATGTCACATCCTCCAACTGATACAAAAGACCCAACAGAAAACATGCCTAAACATACAACAGAGAATGTTAACACTGCAGCCACTGTCTCCAAGAGTGCTGTCAGTCAACGAAATGTCGACATAAAAATTTCTAAAAACGTCAACACTAAAGAAATAACGAAAAAGGTGCTTAAATTAGATTTGACGGGCAAAGAATTGGATGAATACTCATTGAAATCACCAAAATCTCCTATAACAGGTGAGTGCAACTATATTTAAAAAATTTTGATTTATAGTTTTATGGACTCGTGGAGCAAAAGGCCTGCACAAAATTTCTACATTTGCGATATGCATCCGACCACCCTCTTCACAAAAATGATCTAAAATACTACCTTAATTGTCCCTCGAATATTATATTATATTATATTATATTATATTATATTATATTATATTATATCTTATATATATAATTCTTCTGTACGTGTGTTGACAGTGAACTCCTCCTAAACGGCTGAACCGATTTTGATGAAATTTTTTGTGTGTGTTCAAGTGGATTCAAGGTTTAGATTCACAATTTTGCCCACTGGATAATGTCTTTTTAATTAATTTTTTATTTTTTGGTATCCATATACATTTATATTAGAAATTTAAAATTTATTCATGCTTACTTTGATTTGTTTAAAAATTTTAAAATCTCTAAAATGAATCGTAAAACTACGGTTGCATAGCTTAAGTGCATTTAAATTCCGCAGCAAATTTATAGGTAAGCCAATTTTTAATCTTAAGTTATGTGGTGGTATTCCTGATAAATCCAGCGAATTCAAAAATAAAACAGGATAGTTGAACGATTCAATTTAGAGTGTAAACGTTTTAAACAAATCAAAGTAACCATGAATAACTTTTAAATGTCTAATATAAATGTATACGGATACCAAAAAACTGTATAATAATTAAAAAAACGTTATCCAGTGGACCAAATTGTGAATCTAAACCATCTTTGAATTCACTTGAACACACACAAAAAAAAAGAATTATATATATAAAGATATAAATAACGTACAAAAAACAATGCCACGTCTTCGTGGACGAAGAGGAAATATTGGTCGCCGGACTCGGAATTCACAATTACTCCAGAACCGTCGGTTAAATAGATCGGCAGAAAACAATGAAAATGAAAGAAACCAGGATACAATCACACGTGCTAATGAAAGTCAAGAGCAACGCAACGAACGCCAGAAAAATTAATTGCAAGGGGAAACAACGTTCGCTGGGTCAGCTAGTTATATATATTATATTATTATATATATTTTATTATATATATATATTATATTATATTAAATTATATTATATTATATTATATATTATATTATATTATATTATATTATATTAATTATATTATATTATATTATATTATATTATATTATATTATATTAATATATATTATTATATTATATTATATTATTTATATATTATTATATTATATTATATTATTTTAAATATTAATATAGAACGAAATTCCAAAAAATCATTATAAGAACTACAGAACTGCAGAAGTGATCAAGTCCGTATAATAATTAGATAATTGTTTGTATAGCACTTTGTCTAACAGATAATACTGGATATATTATACAACAATAGCTCCACAATTTTAAATTTAAATAGATATGACTGAGGTAGAGTCTCACTAAGAGACATTCTTCACCTAGATCTCAACCACATTTAGAGGAGTTCATTAACCATTTGCTTGCCCCTGTTTTATTACGAAATATAACTTGCCTCTATTAGAAGCAAGTGGTTATAGTAATCAAAATTGATATATATATTTTCTATCTATACAACTCCCTATAAATACATGCCCATGTCCATATTTTTGCCATAGTTTTTAAACATATTTAAAGAAAACCATTATCCCCTCATTGCCCCTCTTTTGATTACGAAATAAAACTGGGATAAATGTTTAGGGGGAGTGTGTCATCGCTTCATATGTCGATGATATATACATACGTTCATGATATTTATATATATATATAATAATAATAATATTAATAAATAAATAATATGTTTTATATACTTACTTTGAATTTAAAAAACGTTTATATTCCATTTTTTAGCTCGTCTCCCACATCAAGCTTCGCTGACATCTTCTGTCGATGTAGAGGATCGGAAAACATTACGTGATGCCTTATATCAAGGTATATTTCATCGTCATCGAAGAACAATCTTTGCTGTGGGTAGTTTCTTACGTATGTTACGTAGCCGCAACTCGCAATATAACACAATTCGCAGCTCATCGGAAGGCGAGGATATTGACGAAGTTAGATAAAATAAACAAAATATACTATAACTATGTGATGCATTCTTATTATTATTATTATGCAAATTATTATAAACTACAATATATGTACAAATATATAAAATATTTAATATTGCGTATACTAATATATTGAGTATAAATATGTTTCATATAGAAAAAACAATATTTAATTGGGAACAATATAAACTTTTTTGTATATTTTTTTATATAATAATAATGCGATATAACAAGTAATTTTTAAAATTTTTTGCTTAAAGCTTTGAAGAGTGACTAAAACAGGTTATATTTTATTTAAAATAAATTATGTAATAAATAAATTAAATAGAAAAATTGTATTATAGCTTTTGTAGTACACATGAAAATATAAAGTGAAAATAATGAGATATTAAAAATAACAAAAAAAAAATTGAAATAAAAAATCTTATAGCTAAGCTAATGATATATTGTATTTTCTTTTAAAAATTTGCAACTGCAATTGTAGTTTCTCTTAATAATTTTTCTCTTCTTTAATACATAAAATGAATAAAAATAAATTTTTTTTGCTAATGCATTTATTAAAACTAATATACGTAAACATTCCAATTTTGTAGAAATTAACTACACTTGATTTGGTAAAAATTTAATTAAAAAAAATTATATGAATTTAGTGTATGAAATAATGAAATAAAAATTTTGTTAATTTTTTTTTTAATATTTTTTTTAATTTCCTGTTAAATGAAGAGATCTAAAATTGAATTATGTAATTTAAAGTAGATTAAAAAAATTATTGATAACTATTTTTTTTTGTTTTTTTTTAATTATTATATTTAATAAATTTATTGTAATTTAGTAACAACCTTTTGATTTTCAAATTCAATTATGACGAAAGTAACTTTTTTTAAAAGAAACTATTGTATTTAGTAGACAAAATGGCTATTTGATGGCAATACTCGAGAACGCATTATGATCAAAGAGGGGTTTTGAAGAAACCTCGCACTTAATAGAGAATAAAAGTGCTCAGGTGCACTGACTCAACTAGCCTCAACATAATAAAACTCAATGAATTAAAAATAATAAAATTTTGTTGTTGCAATTCTCTACTATTCGTAAAACCGTTCTTTTAAATTTAATTTATTTTATCTGCTGTCAAATAATCGTAATATCGAAATACAGTTTATCTTTATAATAATCAACATATTATTTTACTACTTTATTTGTTAAGATTTTTCTTAGCTTTATTATTTAAAGGCTACCAGAGTAAACAACAAACTGTAAATTTAGTTTATTTTAAGTTTGCGATTATCACATTTTAAAAATAAATAAATAAGAAAATATTATTTTTTAATATCTATCCAATTTAAAGCTTTTCATATTAATTATTTATGTACAATAAATCGAAAAATATATCTTTTTAAAATTGATTTTTAACACCTCTGTAATAGAACTGCTTCACACAAATATAACAACAATAGTTAACTGTTATAGAATATATATAAAATAGTTTATATCTTATTTATTTATCTAAGAAATGTTAATACAGATCAAATGAAAAATGCCTGTAGTAATGAGATCGTTAAAAATAGTTTAAATTAAAATCGAAGCGATTTATTTATACTACTTATAAAATCATTTTATTTACAACTTCTAAAAATTTACATCATAACTACACAAACATGAATTATACTAAATAAATTCGTTAAATAGTCTTGTTAAAAACGTATATTAATTAAAAAGGAAAAAATGAAAATAAAACTATTCTAATAAATCGTTTCAAAGTAAAATAATTATGGAAAATTTAAATCTGTTATAATTTTAAACAATTAATTATATAAAATAAAGTCGTTTTATAATTTATAAAAATTAGTTACATATGTGAGCGAAATTAATGTTAATAAAGTGTAAATTATTAATGAAAATAATGAAATTGGTGCACGTTATTACACTTTAAAAAATAAATATTAATTATTTTATGTTATAATTGTTAAACTAGGTTGTTTATGAGATATATATATATATAATTAAAAAAATGTTAGCATTTAATATACGATTCAAGAATGTAGTAAAAATTAAAAAACTTATCTATCTATTTTCTATATATATATATTAGTTAATTTAAGTATCAGAAATCTATTATTATTTTAAAAATATAATAACGAATAAGTCGGTTTTCGTGCTTCGCTGTAAGTGAACGAATGCAAAAATCATTTTTACATAAAACATAAATTCGAATCCTTATTCGCTTTACATACGGAGAGAAATCTTTAATTTGTAAACACAGAATATATAATTAAGAAATTCAAATTGCAAAATAACATCAACTTAACATGTATCAAGAAAAGAATAAGTAATACAAAAACATAAATAAAAGTCGATTTATTTTTTAATTAATACCCAACATTTGCCTATACTTGTCCAAAACATTCTGCCAAGCTCGTTGCATGTCCTCCATAAAACTGTTTGGTTGTTCATTTGGTGTATTTATTGGCCATCGGAAATTCCACTGTGCATTTTGTGGTGTTGTATCAAAGCTCAATGGTGGTCCGTGTGCTGAACGGTTAGTCTTAGCAATTAAAACTTATTAGATTTAGGGACGGTAAGTAAATAAGTGGAATATATAAAGTATTCAAAAAAATATATTGAAAAGATAACGGTACTCCATTCAATAATAATGGATAACAGATAATGGAGAGAGTTTCATAAACTAATGCGAAAAAGTTTTAATATGAATATCGTAATATTTATATATTGTAATAACCATGGGCGTACCCAGGGCCGAAATTAGGGGGAAAGCGCTGATATACTGATATGATATTAAAATATATTTAAAGTCTGCTAAGGCACCCTTCTTTAGCTAGTATATTTCACTCCTAGTTCATTGAAACCTCTGGTAGATGTAACTACTGCTTTTCGCGGACTTTTCACAACAATTTATATATGTCAGTATTAAAGATATATTGGGATCTCAACTTTAGGGCCAATACCTTTTAGAGCAATGGTAAAGCAAACTTACTTGATCAAGTAGGCAAGTTCCCACCGATATTCACTCCTCAGACATTAGTATCTTTTCGCAACAGCTAAACTAGTTCTAGCTTTGCTATTGATAGTTGGGTAGGAAGTATTGAGTCTGTGAATTGAACACCACGGTTTCTCAGCACACATATTAAAATAATGCGTCGATTAACGTATCATTAGAAAGAATTTTGGTGGTACAAATTGAAGTTATATGTTTTAGTATAACTTTATTATTTGTTGAGAGGCGTGACTAAACTAAAATTCTACTAATTATTGGTTCACAATACCGAATTAAAAAATGCAACATCACATCAAGTGAAAGCAAAAAATGCTAATAGTTTTATTGCGGAACTTTTGAAGGCGTTAAGTACAATCACTACAACAATCCTTCACGGAACTAATTAAGTATTTATTACAACCAGTGTTGAGGACACCTGGATGTTGTGGTACCAGATTTATCTCTGGTGGGGTGTCACAATTGAAAACAAACTTGCAATCACTTACTTTTAGAATATTCTAACTATTAACACTAAAAGGAGCTCTGAGGATGAGAAGAAAAATATAGATTCAAAGTTTTCGAGGCCACTTTTCTTACTGACTCAACAGAACTATCACCCTTTAAATTTGAAAGCATAGCCAGATTTCGATATTTATTAGGTTGCACCCTTTTACTAATGTGGAAGATTTACATTCAGGACGATTCTCAAAGTAATTCAAAATAAGATAGTCTTTCAGCACTGGCATACAGACAGTGTCTCATCCGTAATATCACAATTGACCATTATTTTTGCTCATGTTAACTTTGTTGCAAATCTCATTGAAAACAAAGGCTTCAGCTGTTTTATAGAAATGCTCAGCGGTAAAATTAAGGTTATTCTCTGATTTATTTCAGCCTCATCCAAATTGTGTAAGAAAAAAATGCTTAGAAAATTGAACTTACTTATCATGACTTTTGTCGTAATTGTGGTTGGTTGGGGAAGTAGAATACGTATTTCATCATCGTTGCCCAAGTATGATTACTAGAAAATTAAAAACTCTTGGAATCCTTTTATTCACCGACCTGCAAGGACTGTCAACTTGTAATTATGGAGTTTTTAGACTTATCAGGATGGTTCACTTTTACGGGAATGAAGGAGTTGTACTTTACAGCGTTGTTCGTATGTCGATTACTGTGGATTTTTTGTGTGCTTCTGGTGTACGTATAAACAACGCTTATCTGTGGTATCACAATGGGCCATTATTTGAGTTCAATTGGACTTTGGTGTACAAGGCTGACACTCCAACCTAATCTAACCTATTAGGGCCTCTAAATAGTTTAATAACTAACAGTTAAGGTCCCGTATAAAGTAGTAGAACCTAATCTTACTTTAATGTTTACATATAAAGATATTTTATATTTTTTTTCTGAATAGCATCACAAAATAGCGGTGTGTTGGAAACACTTTAATATCTCTTAGATTACTTAAATTTTATATTGTAAAAATATTTTTTTAATTTTTGTAAAAAGTTGAAAAACAATAAATTATTTACCATTTCAACAGCATATTTCCCCTCATTCACTGCTTCTTGTATGGTCTGTCGTATAGCTGCAGCTTCTTTCAAACTTTTTTCCGTAATTTTCACTTTCTCGTCAAGAAGTCTATTTGTGTTATCGAAGTTTGTAAGCCAGGTAGGTTGTACAACCTTAAAATCATAAAATAGGTCAGAATAAAATGGTATAACAGCTGGTTTATAGATACTGTCATCATTTAATTTAGTTTAAGTATTATTTAAGTATAGAATAAAGTCGATGAAATACTTTACTGAACAATTTATTTATACTATTGGTCTTATATTAATTAGTAAGATGTTAGTTCATTAGAAAAAATAAACTATGGTTCATAGCACAAATAAGAAAAAGGATAACCTCACATTCCGTGAAAGAAATCATTTAACTTAGTTTAAGTATTATTTAAGTATAGAATAAAGTCGATGAAATACTTTACTAAACAATTTATTTATACTATTGGTCTTATATTAATTAGGAAGATGTTAGTTGATTAGAAAAAATAAACTATGGTTCATAGCACAAATAAGAAATAGGATAACCTCACATTCCGTGAAAGAGATCGTCTATCGTTTATTTGTTTATTGTTTTGAAATTAAAAAGAAAAGCTGTGCTGATTTAATTATGATAGATTAATTAATTATAGAAATAATTAATAAACTGAATTAATACATTAAAGAGTATTGAGATTTGTCCAATATATAAAAAAAATTCACTTGATATACTATATAAAAAAAATTATTCGAACTTTTATAAAGGCTACCACGTAATAACATATTCTAACCGCATACATTTCTAATATTGCCGTTATTCGTGGGACAAATTAAAATAAGCAATATAGTAAACTTAAGCAGCCATTAGATGAGGATCAATTTAATAAAGAATTTATATGCGTAGGTTTATAAACCCAATAGATATTTAAATAGCATTTTTAATACCTGTCTTTTGTGAATTTTATCCAAAGCTGAAATTTCCAAGTCTTTGCCTGAAGTTTGTAAATCAAATCCATAATAAATCTTACCAGATTTATATGAAATTGGTTTACCCTGTAAAATGATACATTCAGTTGAAAATATTTATACACTATTGTTGATTGCGTTCACAAACCAAAGCAAAATCCACAGTGCTAGATACGATGACCATGTAAATAATAAACTTTACAAGTAAATCCATATCCATTTTCGCTTTTTATTAAGATTTTTTGTTATAAAGCACGCAAATTAAATATATGCTGAATATTTTACACTGAGTTCAATTTACCGTTTATTACGTTTGTAAAAAGACGCTGAACTGTTATAAACTGCTTTATCTAAATGCAGCATTGTAGTTTTTGCCGATAAAACAGTACATTTGACAGCTATGTCATGTTTGACAGTCAACTCGAATGCTTTGGTATTATAAACACACGAAAAGTAAATAATTTTCGCTTTGATATGTCTAAAACTAAAAGTGCGCGTAAAGAAAAAAATAAAACCGAAAAATATCGCAGTGAATCTGAGGAAGATGACAAAAGGTATCATGATAAGAAAAAATTAAAAAAAAGTAGTAAAGACTCATCCAGAAGTTCGTCATCTGAATCAAGTGCATCTTCAAATTCATCAAATAAAGATTATAAACGCAAAGAAGTCAACGAAAAAAAACGTTCGCATAGAAATCAAGACAGATCACCTAGCAGAGAAGGGAATCGTCATCATCATTCCAAATGGGATGATAGTCCCAATAATAAAAGACGACGCAGCAGAAGCCGTCAAATAGAGCAGGAACACAGCCGAGAAAGACATCAAAGCACTGAATACAGAACAGTTGGCGATGACCACCAGCGTAGATTTAACAGCGATAGAAGACGTGAATATGATGATAAAGGCAGAAATAACCGTAATGACTATCGTAGCAGTGGCAGAGAAGAGCGTGGAAGGGATAATGATAGATATCGTACGAATAACAGACGAAAGTATGTATAAAACGTATTTTTAATATATGTACACATGTAAGATTTTTATTTTAATATGTTTCATTTAGTCGCAGCCGAAGTCGTAGTCCACGACGTGAACACAAAACAGAACAATATTCACCGAAAAATGGCAGATATCAGAAGCGTTATAATCGAGATAAGGATGATAAAAACTATGAATGGGGCAAGAAAAATAATACTAAAAACACAGATGCATCGTCTACTAAACCAATTGAGAAGGAAAAGCCCAATTTTGGACTTAGTGGTGCTCTTACTGAAGACGCAAACAAAGTAAATGGTACTGTTATCAAATACGCTGAACCTCCAGAGGCACGAAAACCAAAACGAATGTGGAGGTTATATCCATTTAAAGGTGAAACAGCACTTCCAACATTGCATATACATAGGCAAAGTTGTTTTCTTGTTGGTCGCGATCGAAAGGTTGTCGATTTGGCTGTGGATCACCCAAGTTGTTCAAAACAGCACGCTGCTTTGCAATACAGACTAGTACCGTTTGAACGAGAAGATGGCACAAACGGAAAACGTGTACGACTTTATTTAATTGATTTGGAATCAGCAAATGGTACATTTCTAAATAATAAAAAAATTGATTCACGTAAGTACTATGAACTAATGGAGAAGGATGTTATTAAATTCGGTTTTAGCACTCGTGAATATGTGCTACTGCATGAAAATAGTAAGGAGCAAGAAGAGGACGATGACGTGCCCATTAAACAAGAACCGGATAATTAATATATTTAGTAAAATATATCTTAATGTTATTATAAATATTTGACATGCTATACAAATATTGTTTATTATTATCTGTTTGAAAAAAAAACAGTCTTAATATAAATATAAAATAAATGTAGTGTTCACAATAATGTTTTTAAAATTTTTTAAAAAAAGAAAATGAGTTCACAATAGTACTGATATGATCAAACACGTTTTATACCAAACAAGGTATTCTTTGACGTATACCAATGGGTGACAAAAAACAGAAAGTTGCTAATGTTATGTTTTCGTAAACAGCAAAACTTACATATATGCATACAAAGGCCATATATTTTTCTTCCATTATCGCGGAGCCATGATCAGCATTTTTCCATAAAGTCGCAAAACGCAAAAAAATTAAATGAAATCAACGAATTCTATATAACACTAACACATTTACTATTTCTTCGAGTGCCAGTACAGTGGCTTTAACTGTTGTAGTCAAAATTCAAATATGTTGAATCAACTATTAATATTGCTCCGACATTGTTAATAGAACTATTTTGCATTTTACTTTCTTCATTTTCGTAGTTATAGTTATAGTTGAAGTCATTTGACAAAAATTGACTGCGCAATATTTAAACAATAGCAACCTTATTTTTTACTTATAGCGTAGCAAATAAATACTCGCAACTTACGAAAGAACACATGTGAAGCAATGCTCTTTAAATATTCAGAGTTAGGCTTTACTCTCAAAAATTTTAACGTCGTAAGTTTTAGTGCAGCCAAATTCAAAAATCAGTCTATTGTGAATGCTCACTGGAATTGTGTAGCAAAATTTCAAACATACTTTAAAACCATATGGGTATTTTATTTATTAATAAATTCAAATATATACATAAATAAATTAATTTAAATATATAAGATAAAAATACTAATCTATGCACTTCTAATATTTAGTTTGTGTCCTTTATATAAATTAATTAAATTTTAGTGTATACAATTCTAATATTTTATATTGTATACAACACAACAAAATATAGATGTCAAAAGTAAGCATTTCACATATTTTAAAACTGATGTCAATTTGTTTCTGACAGAATAAATTACGTTTAGTCAAATTTTGTTTGATTTTATTATTTCTCCGTCAGCAATTCAAACATTGCTTAAAAGTTACCGAGAGCACCTAGTCTTAAGCAGACTAGGTTATAGACTTTTCGAAAAGAAAAGTTTTAAGAGAAGTTTTCGAAAAGTAGTGAACTACAATAACGATTATACCAATATTTACACTACCAAAAAATAGACTAATAATTATGTGCCTTACGTAGCGTTAACGTAAAACTTACGTTTTATTATTTGAACGTCATTGTGAATTAACGTTTAATCGTTGCTTTTAGTTGACAGCAGTGGGTTTGACAAGTTGCACGAACACTTAGCTTAAAGAGTTCGGCGCAATAACTTCGTATAGTGGGAAAATATAGTTTTGTGTAAAATTTTAAGGATAAGCGTCACCAAAATGCCGAAACCAAACGGATTTATGGTCTTCACTATGGAATGGAAACAACGACATGGACACGGTATGAGCATTGCGGAAGCAACCGCAATGTGTGGAAAAAAATGGGAAGTAAGTCTATATTGCAGTTATTTATTCGAAGTAGTGCATTTTCTTTGCCATATTTTTTAAAAATTTTTAATTATTGTTTATGCATTTTATACATTTATTACAAAATTTAGAAGGTTTAAGTTTTTTTTTTATTTTTATTTTACAACGTGCATTTCACATTGAAACTTTAACTCACACAGAAAACTGCACAGAATACCAAAAAACTGCAGTTTTTGAGTTTTGTTGTTGGACTGCAGTATGCAAGCGCGTATTAATTATTTCACAACCTATAAGGCTTAGTAAGGCTTAGTTTTAAATTAACATTAAATTTCAATCAAGAATACCATTTCCAACCACTAAAAGGTCGTAATAATTTAAATAAATAAATCAATCGCAATTTTGTTTGCAAAAAGTTGTATTTTCATATATAAGTTATTTGCAATGATAGTTAAAATTTGCAGAATTTTTCAAGAAATTTCTAGAAACAGCAATTACTGTGAAGCCGAAATTGACTATGAAAAAAAAAAAAATCAAAAATGGTTGCACTTAAAGGGAAACCGCAGCTGACAGCAAATTAAGTTTGTTGTTGTTGAAGCTGTTATGTGAATTTATTCCACATATTTGTCTGACTTTATATTAAACAAAACAAAAGACGAAAGCCAACATTACAGTTTTTGTTTAGGAATTTATCCTAAACAAAAGCTTACTTACTGTTTATGCTGATTCTACTGTTTACTTAATGAACGATGTGTTGCGCTAATGACGACAAACCCCACAATTTTTATCACAAAAGTGCGAATCTCAGCATAACTGGCTTTATTTGGTTAGCTTTTGCTGTACACTTTCAGTTCAGTTCTAGTCACGCCAACAAACAATTTGATCCTAGTTTTCAGTGCATAACAAATGCCACTGGAACAAAGATCATTGAGTCATCGGCTTTAGTTTAATGTTGATGTGTTAAGCCGTTAGAGATTTATATGGTAAATAACATAACAGGAATCACAAATAGGAATAGATGGATTAGAATATGGTTGAGTAAAGAAAATGTGAAAAGGGTTTCTTTGTATACAAGAGTGAATCAATAATAGGTGGAATTTTAATTGAAACTAACCTGAATCAAGGCACTTAAATTTAACAAATTTAAGTAGATGAACCCAAAGATCGATCGGACTTATATTCTTATGTGCATAAAGGTGTATTCACACCAAAGCGAACACTTGTGAACGAAAGAACATTCACAGGTAATCGTACGTGCAAAAGTTCGTTCGTTCGCAAGCGTTCGGTTTGGTGTGGATGCACCTTAAGGACATGAAAACATGAAAACAGATGAGCTACATTCTGGAGGGTAGAGTTAACATATTAGAAACACATATTAGAAATGAAGGCATTTGTGGCATTATATGTGACTAATACCTGTTTAGTACATAGCTCTATGTATTGACTTTAATTGACCTAAAACATTTCTTACTACACGTAGAAGTCGTCATCATTTCCGGGAGATATTAGGTGGATTGTTTATTATGGATTATTACTTTATTAACACTATAAGTATTCTATAATATATATATATAAGTATTCATTTGCTGGCGAGCTAACTAATCTAGTTAGCTACTGTAGGTTAGTTGTACCTGTGCTATAGGATAGTATGTGATGAGTTTAAGAGATTATGTTTTAATTGTTTATAAAATTTTAATAACTTTTATTAAATTTATTTATAATTTCTTAATTTATATAAAATCAAAACAAGGATATGGATGAAGAAGCTCGGAAACCATACCAAACAAAGGCAAAGAAACAAAGAGAGACATCGAAAGCCAAACCTAAACAAGAACCTTGCTGTAACACTGGAGATCCACTTTCCGTTTTGTTAAAAGAAAAAGAAGAAAGAGAAAATTATGTACAACAAACAAAACGGAATATAGAATCTATTGTTAAAAAGTCGCAGCGCAGCGATAGTAAGTATAATATATTCTATAAAATATATTTCTTTTATTTATATTATTATATATAGAAATTTCAAATGTATAGAAAATATTCATATTTATTTAAATTTATTATTCCTTTTTACGCTCAGGATTTACTACTGATTGTTATGTTGTTATTGCCGTGAACTATTTTTCAAAAAGTCTTAATGGAAATATTTACGTGCCAGCAGAAATCTCTTTGGCCGAGTTCTCCTTAAAGCGTGGTATCATAAAAACCTATCATACTCATGTAAATCCAGGTATGTAACAAATAATAAAGCTGTACAACCAGCTTATCATGAAGATTAATCATGTTTATTAAAACATTAGTTGCAGTTTCATTTGAATTTAAAATAAATCTTCAAATCAAAACTGCTATTTTTAAGTATTTATTTATTTATTTTTTAAAATTTATTATAATTTTTTGAAATGTTATAGGAGTTTCAATGTATGGTCATCAATATGATGCTCAATTACATGCTGACGAGACACACAAATTGCCGCTTCCACCAGATGCTATTGGCGAACGTAACTTAGCGAATATTTATAATGAAATATTGAAATTTGCAGAAGACAAAGAGAATGGTGGATATCGACCTCTTTATGTAAGACAAGAGCATATTCCTATAGCGAAAAGTGTTGTAGAGTTCTTACAAATAGACTCCGACGTGAATGAAATAAAGTTTAAAATTTATCCAGTGCAATATTTATTCTATTTAATGAAAGAAACTGCTTGCAAGATAGGTGAACTCTCACCGCCTAGTATTATAGAGAGTAATGCATTTTTTGAAAGAGATTATTTTGAATATCATACCGGAATATCGTGTGAGGTAAGCCATCATGTATTTTTCTATTTTTATCATTCTTCTGTTCAAACAAAATTTGAACTAGCTACTAACTGCTAAAAAATAATAATATATAATATTTTTGTAATTTTATATAGTATCACGAGAATATCGATAGATCTATACATTGCACACAATCGGTGGTTGTACGATCGTGCTATATGTTTTGTGATTACATGTGTGAAGACGTAGCAGTTGATATTATACCTGGCAGACATATTCCAATAAAACAAAAAATTGATATGAAAATTATCGAACCTAAAGTAGATAACAAAGAAAAATCATATCAAAAACTTTTTAATAATGAAAGTGTTAAAAAAGAATATTCCTCATCGTATGGAAGAAATTTTAAAAATGAGGAGTTTCCGAGTCTAAGTATGCCAATGAAAAAAAAGAAAAATTTCCAACCAAAACCTCGTGACCCCGAAAATAGCGATTCGGAATTTGAAACAAAGCCTGTAATGAATCCATTTGGTAGACAAAATAATTATCGCTATGACAATCTACCTCCAAAACCAACCTTACAAGATTTTGATGTAACTTTTTCGGATGCGGAATCTATTTCTACAGTTAATTCATTTAATAGGAAGCCTTGGCGAGAAATTGCGCAAGAAGATGGTCGTTCTGAAAGTGAATTTTCTACCACATCTAATAGAAGCTTTTATGAATCTCGAACTCGCGGCCGTGGACGTGGAGGCGGACGATCGTTCATGAGTTATGATAGTGACTTTCCAAGTTTAAATTAAATTTTGACTTTATATATACGTATATATAATAGATATATTTTTTAATTTCATTTGAGTATAAATAATTTTACAGTTATGTAAAATTATTTAAGTTTTTAAAACGAAAATGATTAAGTTTTAAATTTAATTTTGAAAATACGTTAATCATTCTCTTCATTCGAACAATATGTTTTATTTTTTCACTTTTATACGTTTTATTGATTTTCAATTTAAATATAATTATATATAACTTTTTAAAATAAATTCAATTTAAAAAAGTTTTGTATGAGAAAACCCAAAGGAATAAAAAATCGTATACAATACAGTTGTTATGTAAATATATTAGATTTATATATATACATATATATATATTTATGCTTAATTGATACCTGCATTACACATATAGTTTATAAATTATATTCAACTAAAAAACTAATATAGATATATATTCTTAGTTTTGGAAGTATAACCTTCTTTATTATTGAACCAAATGTTTAATTTTTAAATAATTAATTTGGAATAACTCTTATTTTCTTTTGCCTTATATGCGTTAAGAATTCTCATACGCATTAGATTTAATTTTTTTAATTTTTTATTTTCATTTTTATAAGATCTGTAAGTATAATACATACATAAATTAAAATTTATATAATATACTTTATGTAAATTCAAATTATTATAAGATCTGTAAGTATAATACATACATAAATTATAATATACATACATAAATTGTGTAATATATACTTTATGTAAGTTCAAACTTTAATTTGGATTTAATATTATTAATAAAATAAAGGAATTATTTCAAATAAACTCGTTCTCATTAAATAGTAATAGTCAATATATAATTTGTTAATATAGTCCATTTCATTAGAAACCGCCACTGAACTACAAACAGAAGGACTTATTGTCCTTCTGTCCTTTTTCACCTTGTGGAAGTAGAGATTATGTTACGTTACTTACACTAATGCCTACATAAGCTCAAATAATAGCTTGTTGTGATACAACGGATTAGCGGTGTTCCTATCTAGAATAGAGGGACCCCCGAAAGGAACACATTGGTTGATGTCCAAAAGTCACTGGTTTGAGTCGATGTTTGAGAACTCCATGATTCGTCACCTGTGATGATCTTATAAACGTTTTTTGAAGCACCGCGATCGTATTTTTTCAACATTTTTTTTGCACTAATCGACACGAGCCTTTTTTTGACAGATTGTCAAATTGTGCAGGATCCAACGAGAACAAACCTTTTTTACGGCCAGGTGTTCATGCAATATCGAATATATGCTGATAGGAGAAATGTCTAAGGATGCCCCTATCTCACGGTATATCACATGACGATCTTGCATTATCAGTTCACGCACGGTATCAATGTTCTCTGGCACAACGGCTTTTTTGGACGACTTTCACAGAATTCGTCGTTGAGTGAGCGTCGACCACTTTTGAATTAAACCAGTTTTTTACAGTGCTATAGGATGGTGTTTTATCGTCATACAAAGATTTAAGTTCATTAATGTTCTCTTGTCGTTATAATCCATGTCAGAAGTTGTGAAAAATGATCGCACGGAAATGTTCACGTATTAATTCTATTTTTTGGACGAGATGAATTTTTCAAGTCTCTGTAAATAAAACATTTCATAATTAAATGATAACACGTTCTGAGTGATGTTACGCTAAAAAATATTAACCTTTCCAATGGAAATGTCAGATTGCACCTGGCAATACCTGGCCAGAAATATATATAGCAGCCCTCGTAATAAAATAGATGTTTAATAAAATAAAAATAATTAAGATTTTAAGTTTTCATTTAAACACTACGACGACAAGAGACTCTCGTTATTCGCATACAGAAACGTGAATTTTGGAAGCCACATTCCAATAACACCACTGAAACAGATATCGCCGCATACTTACCTTGCCCCTATCAACATGGATTTTGAAAACGCCATCTCCGTTCATTACGAAATCACATCCCAAATTGTCAATGGTCTCAACCAAAGTCACCCGTGCGAAGGCACTGTGCTAGTAAGTCTTTTTCTCGCAAAGGCATTTGTTAAATGACCTAGCTGAAACATTCATCACTGACTTAAAAAAAGGATAGTCCTGTAATTATCTAATGCGAGTCCTTCGTTAATTTTAGAAATACGATGTCGAAAATCAGGAAATTGAAACAAGGTGACCTCAAGGGGAGGTCAGAGTCATAACGTATGCAGGTGACTGCATAATTTTAATTCTAATCTATCACCAAATAAATCCTCCGCCACACTCTGGTTATAAACATCGGTGAATTCAGGATCAAAACTACCATCAAACTCAAAATCCTGGTTGTATTGTTTGACAGCATATTGACCTTTCCTGCACATACCATGGCTATGTGCAGTCGGCTGAGATCACACAATAATGTATTAAAATCTCTCGCAGAATGCTCATGATTTAAAAACAAAGAAACCTTATTGAACACATACAAAGCTATAGGACATTCCATTGGGGTCTATGCAGTTTCGTGTATGAGCCATTCAATTCTGCGAGATAGAATGGAGTAACATCTAATCATGGTAGAGCACTGCATGCAGAATCGAAAATACTTTTTGTGAAAAAGTACAATCAACTGCTAACTTTTTGCGTGCCACACAGATGGACACTCCAGTGGAGTCATGTTCAGTAGAACTCTCCCTCCGAGATGCATTCGTAGATCTTTTTCTGCACATTGTAGATATATCGACAATTTTTGCAATGGATCTAACACACAAATGCAGTATCTCCAGGCAAATGCAGTATCCTTCGATACGAGACCAAGGTTATCCTGCAACAATGCTCTCAACAGGCTCGCGCCTAACATTTCTCAGGAATAACGGCAACTCCTAAGTGCAGCAAGAACTATCCTAGCTCAATTCAGATCAGAATACAGCCATGTGGGTAAAAGTTACTTTTAACACGTCTATTCTTAATGTGGTTAAAATTGCAGCTCTACCCACAATGACGTCGCTCATCATACACACAGTCCACAAACCACAGTCCAATTCCTAATCTAACCACATTTTCTAATCCCCCTCCACCTTCACTCAACCATTGCCTATTAACCATTACTAAACCATTCTCTTCATGTTATCTGCTTTTTATGTAAGATCCCTGCGGTCTATTACAGCAACAACAACGATAGAGAATCTTTTTACTTTGATACGAGTTGACCTTTTTCTTTTACGATTTTCTATTGTCACTTTGGAATAGAATCCTTTTCCTCTTGGTCCAAAAAAGCTGGGTATTCAGAAATAATGTGACTATATATTATTTCACTATAAATAAATCTTCACTTTGAAGAAAAATTCATATTTTACATTTTTTAAATAGAATTTCTTTTTATTTAAATCAAAATGATTTTATTTCTTTTTTTTTAAATAAAATTAATATACTCACATGCGAACATTTACAATTTGTTTTGAATATACAATTTATCTAAATAAAATAATATCTAACAGAAGCATAAAGTGAAAAAGTTTAAATAAAAAAATGTATATTTTTTAAAAATTATGTTTAATTTTTTCTATACATATATTTAACAAATGTATATTTATATTATTTAAATTCGAATTATGAAAAATATATTAAAATAGCACTGCTCCAATTATTTTCTAGGTAAAAATACTTTGATACCAGCTAATAAATAATAATAATTATAAAATTTTAAATTAAAATTCTTTAATATTTTAATGAATTTTAAGAGTAAAGTTTGATTGTAAGTCCATCTTATCGAATATTCATACAATTATTTATTATACATAAGTGGATTGAGTTTCATGCAATTTATATATTATATATGTAATTCCTCATCTTAATTATATTAAACAATGTTTGTTATTCACCAGTCTATTTAAAATTATATAAAAAACAAAAAATTCCATTTAAATAATCTCCCCGAAGGCAATTCAAATTAATATATATATATATATATAGCTATAAGCATTTTTTATATTATCTGGTTTTCGATATCGAATTAAAAAATGAAATATTTTAGGTCAAGTTAATCGTTACTCTCACACGCCGATATAAATTAAAAAATACATTGATAATTTCTTACGGATTTAGTGTCTGTTTAATAATTAAATAGAATAGAATTAAACTATTATTCTATTTTAATAATATTGCAATTACTGTGAAGACGCAAATGTAAAACTGTAAGTATTTACCGGATATTATTATCTGATTTAAAATACTTTTATGTTTTTTAAACTCATAATATCATACATATACAGGGCATTTCCTAACTAAACGAATTTACAAACTGATGTGCCAATGTCCGATATATAGACCGATAGGCCTTTCCTTGCTATCTTGCATCTCGTTTAATATTGAAAATTGGCATCTGTATCTACACAATGTTTTCTGTTCCTTGGTCCAGGGAATGATCTCTTGTATTTTGTTGGGGAACATACTATATACACACGGAAGGAATTTTTTTCTTGTCAGCTAATATCTCGATTAATATTGGACGCCTTTTTTCAATTAGGTTCTTACGTTACTTATGCACAAGAATATCTTTAAAAATTTTAAAAGTCTTAGTTAGGAAACCCCATGTGTGTAAATTAAGTTCATAAAAAAACCAATTATTGGTATATGTCATATGTTTAGGTTAGTTAAAAATAAATTTATATTTATACATAATATAGTCCTTATGTTATAAAGAAACATCCCGAAGAATATGCTTGAAAATGTTTAAAATATACACATATGTTTTAGAGTATACACGTATTTGCAATTTGGTATATGTTGCCACGTTTTTTTGGGAGTGTAGAGTTTAATTTCTATCACTTTAAACGAGTACATTCAATGTACGTTCTTCAAATTAAGATTTGTACGGCCCGCTGTGTCTTGCTTAATTGGATTTCTGAATTCTTCCTTTGGTGTTGGTGGTGGAGTCACTGCTAGTAATGTCGGTGTTGTCGGCTGTTTTGTGGTGGTAGGACTTTTTCCACCGGTATTGTGTAAGCTTGTGCTTACCAGTGGTGTATTGCATTGCCTCGTTGTCTTATAGTGATGCAATATTTCAGCCGAAGTGTTTTTAAAAGTTTCTGACATTTGATTATGTACAAGTTCCATTAGCTCTGGTATATCATTTCTTGTTAGTCCTACTGTGCTGACTGGTGGTAAAGATGTTATAATTATATTTCCCGAGTTCAAAATTTTCTTTTTATCATTTAGAAATGATATATAAGAACTAAAGACCACTGGTATAATTGGTATTTGCTCATCGATGGCCATATAGAATGCACCCTTTTTAAATGGATGCACTTCACCGGTATTTCGTCGTGTGCCCTCTGGAAATACCCATATTTTAATGCTCTGCTGTTTAATTTTAGTGTTAACTGCATTAAGAGTTTCGCGTGCTTTTTCTCCACGAACTCGGTCAATAAAAATTAAGCCAGCCAACCAAGCTGCTAATCCGAAGGGCCAAGCATAGAAGAGTTCACGTTTAGCTACTACAGTACATTTATCCATTACGTGCCAAATGTTAAACATGCCTATATAAAAATGGTATATAATAAAATTGATTTTATTTAATTAATATATTCAGATTAAATGATAGAGTAATTTAAATGTTTTTATACCTAAAACGTCTAATGAGCTTTGATGATTAGAAACGATAATAGCAGGTCGATCCTTTTCAAGGTGCTCTCCGCCGCGTAGTTCCCATCGTAAGCCAATCAATGTTGTGATTCGTTGGCAGAATGTGCTGGCCCAGCTGCAATTGAAAAACGAGTACAGAGAAAATGAAATAAAATGAAAATTAATACTTCACCTAAATCATTATTTAAGCAAATATATTTCATAATTTTTTTTTTTAATTAATTGTCTTTATAAATTCTGTTGATAGGTGTATTGTTTCCATTTCTATGTTTGTGTATGTAACTCCATGCTGCTTATTGTTATTTTTTTTCATTTATGCCTGTCTTGAAATTCCATATTACCGAAATAGTAGATCGTGGGAATGAAATCTCTCTACTTTTCTAAAAATATAATTGCTATGTATCTTATACCTTATAGAGACATCTCATAAGATTCTATGAATATAGTCACAAGAATTTTTTTTTTATTTCATCAAATGTCCTTATGCTTTTTCAGATAATTGAGCTCCATTATGCACGATAAATATATTTATAACTTATAGATATTGTACAATCAAAGTTGGTTAGGGAATGCTTTCAATTTCTCAATACCCAAGCATCGAGGAACTATGTTACTCTTATGTGTGTATCGGGACTTGAAGGGCATGGGGGCAATGTAATAGCAGACTCACTAGCAAAGAAGGGTGCATTACTCCTTTCATTGGTCCAGAGCCCTTCTGCGGGGTAACAAATAGCTTCAAAAATAACTTATTATGTGAACAGGAGAAACAAAATCTACTTGAATACTGGAGAGCCCAAACAGGTATGCGGCAGTCAAGAAGATGCATTGATCCTAAATACATTAAATTTGATGCTATCCTTGGCCTTAGCAGAAATGATATTAAAATCTACACTGAACTTCTTACAGGTTGCTGTAGACTTAATTGCCACATGAAGATTCTAGGTGCGGTAGAAAGTGATTCCTGGCGACTCTGTCATGAGGAGAAGGAAACATCACAACATATCCTATGCAACTGCCCAGCCGCGGCAAGACGTACACTCGACTACCTTGGAAGCGGAATTTTAGTCCCAAATCAAATAAGTAAAATTAAGCCCACAGCAATTACGAGATTTATAAAAAGTCTAGAGTTGTTTTAGTTGGGTCTTTAGGCGCACAATACATCTTTTAGGTCAAGGTGCATTCATAGCCTATTATTTAATAATAATATAATTACTTAATAATAACTTAATTTTTAAATGGGAGGTCTAATACATGTAACTTTTTAAGCCTTCTGACCTCATCAGTCTCGTCTAACATAGCTATAGCTACTTTCAAGGTATTTCGAAGTATAATTTCCTATTGCTTCTTTTGTGTAGGGGACTTTGAAATCTCTATGAATGCAGTGGTTTGTTACAAACCATAGAGCATTTACATAGTTACAAGAATAAAAAAAAATACCTAGCACTGAGTTTCTAACATTTTTCGTGGTCTGTTTCGCCTAAGAGACATTCTCGATACCCGAGCGTCCTATAAAGAAATTACAACTGATCGTGGGAGACAGAAATTACTGTTGCAGTTAGTTGATGCAGTTCACAAGTAATGACATATATAACACGTATAAATTTGTGTCCATTCATCAGAAATATATCAAACAGATTTAGATCAAACTGACATCGATACATTTTCATAAAACTTTCATAAAACCCTTATATGGAATTAACAGTAGGGCATGTAAGAGGGCTTTAGGTTGGGAAATAGTAATATAATATAAGAAATAAAACAAGAAAGGAATTAAAGTCTACTTAATAACTTGAATATTAATTTATATATAAATTTAGTCTACATACTAAGCATATAGCTTAGGGAAAAAATAATTTTGTGCATAGTACAAGATTTAATAAAATCAATATGAAGTGTAGGATTGCATAAAACTGAATCCGAAATAATAGAATAGAATTAGAATATATACTGAATATAAGTTCGCAATATCACATATTGACAGAGTAAAGCACTTTGGCCTTATGTTTTGCACTCTAATTGAACACAGGAACACTCGCGTCCAGCTTCCAGAGTCACTGATTGTTGAGACCAATTCCCGCTACTTATATTGAATTTGAAAATTTGACAGATTCTTCAGAGTTTTTTAGTACAGACATCATACCAATTAACTTTGTGTATAAAGAATCTGGAAATATTGAATACAATCCACAAGAAGAGCATTCCTAGCCTATTAACCAAAGCTGGGCAGTCACAGAGAAAATGTATGATTGTTTCCTTTTCGCTCATGTTTCCGCAACTTTTACAAAAAGTGTTAAATGGAAAGTGCAGTTTCTCAGTATAACTTCGAAACCCAGATCGACCGGTTTATTTTACATATTGTGAGTGACTTCCATCTTATTTTTAGTTAACCACAAAAAATGGAGTAAGGTGCCTCTTTTAACGGTGTCTATTGATATATATATATCGACAGCCATAGGTTGACACCCATAGAAGCGTCAAAGCGTGCTAAACTGTCTGTTTTTTTATTGAATTCAAAGTTCCCATGACTGGGAAGATGACATAAAGACTGCATATTTCTTCGATTCGAAATAAGGCGGCTCTAATAAGGTGAAAGTTTAATGAAACTCTCTGAACTAAGGAATGAAATAATAATCTTAATGAGTATGATAATGCTCTAATATTTTCGAAGATTAATTTTTTGAAAAATAATTCTCCAGCTGTTGAAAGCTTCGAACATTTAGATAATCGAGTATGTTTGTATTCGATTCGATGTATTTATAAAAAAAGAAAACAAATATAAAAAAATATAAATAAGATTTGTTATTTATGTTAAATAATAGAAGATTTTCGTGCATGTAAGAAGTTCGATTCAAATGTTCGAATTCGAACTGCTCGAGTATTGTTTCGTTTAAAAACAGTTTAAAGTTACTGGTAATTACAGTTTTATGTTTAATTCAAAACAGATTCTATAGCGATTGTACGAGTATGAAGATAAAGAAATATAAGCACCTACGTCACTTGCTAAAAATATTTTAATTAAATCAACTTAGGTTATAATTTTAATTGACAGTACAACAGGTAGCACGTGGCAAAGCTTAAAAACTTTTTACAAAAATTGTAAATTAAATTTTTTATTTAAAAATACATTTATTTTATATGGTGGTATGTTTTATAAATTGAAATATATATAAATTAAAAATTAAACATGTAAGTAATAGGTTAAAAGTAATTTAAGTCTAAAGGCACGTTGCTATTTTCATACAATGAATTTTTCGGGTTCAAAAGTTAAAGTAGTTATGAAGATGATATGCTATTTAGTTGAAAAGTCCAAAAAATTAGTGTTTAATAATAATTTAATTTTGTTAAAGTTTGCTTCCTAATACTCTGATCCTAATAATATTAAGATCAGAGTGCAATGCGCTCAAATGTTCGAAAGTGATGTCAGATGCATGTGATTGCTGTAGACAGGAGCTGGTGAAATAAGCTTTTCTCCTATTTTATTCATTCTGACTTTCCATGAAATCCTAAGAATCTGTTTCGATGGCCACTACAGAATATATTGATCTCTTCTCTTCTTCTGAATGATAACGAATCAACAGACTATTTTTATCATGGCGAGCCAAACTTGTGTAGATCTTTAACATTACGTAAAAAGTCTAACTCGAAAAGAATCTAAAGCAGAATTAGATTATAATATCATTAAAACTGTAGTTATGTCAAGCGGCTCAAACGATACAATCAACTATTGTTATAAGAACGAAAATAAAGCTATTGTAATATTATGCGTAGTATATTAAATGTGATCAAAAAGTAAAGAAAATTTTCAAATCGCTCGTACTATATAATATTAATCAGATCTGAGTATTATTTTGTTTATTGACAGTTTGTATGACATATTGTGGAAAAAAAGGAATTAAGTAAAACAAAATATTTAAAATTATAAAATAAGAACTTTAGCAATAATACAATGGAACAACCACAATTCTACGGTAGTACAAACGTTTTCAGGAAGATTAAGAACACGTTGACATAAAGAAAACATCTGGGCTTCCTAACATATCCATTAATATTAAGTTAGGTTAGGTTGCTGTTGCAATTTTTTGCACTAAAGACTACTTAAACTCAAATATTGTCCATACTCCATTAGGAACTTGAGGATACAACAAATGATTTCCATCTATCTCTCTTCTGTGACAGTTGTCTGAACTCGTTAATCGATTTGTTAGTTTCGGTGTTTATTGTTCTTCGCCATGTTGTAGTGGGCCTGCCTCTACGCCGGGCTCCCTGGGAGTTTCACGTTATCACGTTAGCTCCCTGGGAGTTTCAAGTGTCTTACGCAGTGTATGTCCCGTTGTGATATCACAGCTAAGCGTTGCTTATACGCAGACCACAAGGACCGCGGTGGTCTGCGTACACAAAAAGTTAAAAGACGCAACTACCCTTCTTCAATGTTGGAAACACGGAAAATATTGGATAGGATATAGAAGAAGTAGAAATGTCATACGGCTCCTTCGAAAAATTGTTAAGAAGTTTTAAACGTAAAAAGAGTAGCAGTAAATTAAAAGTAATCTGCAGACATAGCACCCTGAGAATCTTTTATATTTCCTAAACTTAAAAAGACTTTGAAAGGACAAATTTTTTAAAAATATAACAACTAAGACGAAAAAACAGAACGCGGTTAAGTTCATATCAATAATTATTTTAAAATTGGAAACTATGGTGACATATGTGGATAATATCACGCAAGACAAGTCAAATAGAAATGTTGTAGAATTGTTTTTTTTTTGGACATTTAAACATTGGATATTTGAAAACTACTTTTTTATTTTACCAGGTCACAAAATAGAGACTAACTGTTAGACGGAGACTGCGAACTTAATTTGATAGATCATGCTGTATAACATTGTATATATGTATGTGTAGTCTGCGACATCGCCCGGCATCTGGCGCAGTAAGTCTGAAACAATGCTTCTGACTTAATAAATAACTTTTTTATATACTCTAAGCTCTCTAAATATATATTTTTTCATATTCGTGTTTGAATTGGAATCCAACAAAGCCGTTTTAAACTTTGTGTACATAAAAAAGTTTAAAAATAATTTTCTACATTTTTTTTGCAAGTGACAGCATTTCATG